ATACAGAGGTTTGAGGCTGTGAAATAATTGGCTGTATGCTATGACTGCTAGAAACGTTTTCTGTGTTTTCTACTTAAGTGCTGTTATTGCTGCTCTGCTGTCAGGTCCGTGAGGCATTTGTTTGATTTTATTTCTGGTGATGTACCATGTGCTGCCACATGGTGGCTCTAGAGGTCAAAAAATGCTCCTCTAGAAATAAGTATCATTTTTCAATGTGAGTCTCATTTTCCATTCTCTGAGGCACTTACAGGAAGTCACCTAAAAAACAATCTATAATGGGAATGGACTGAAGGAATGTCAAGTAACACAACAGACATAATATGACTGACAGCTGTCACTTCATTTGCTTTCCTTTAAATATCTGGCTGTATTCTCATGGGAATAAAATATATATAGAAAAAGACACCAAATGTGTTCCTGATCACATTATGGTGTCTCTATATTTTCATTTGACTACCTAAATACAACACAATAAATGTCGCAAAACCAGTTCCTGTCCGTTTGTGTAGTTGCATTTGATCTGCAGATATGAAGTACTGGATACATTTAACATTTAAATACATTTTCAACGTTTACCTTAATTCATTCAAACATTCTGAAAGTCTTACAGGAGGAAGATGAAAGAGTTCAAAAGCAATGGTGAAAATGATGCTGCAACACAAGGTTACATTATACTGAAAATCAAAAGAGAGAAAAGGTGTTAAGAATAAAGCAAGCCACATATATAATACAAATATGAAACCTTTTCAAATACATAAGATCTTTAATGCTTTTCATTTCATCTTCTTCTGTATTTCACAACAATTACTTGGAGCACTTTGTAAGCAGGTCACACAATAAATTGTATTCGCTGTCAAGGTAGCGCTACACAAACAATTATGCACTCCAACCTTAGGTGCTGTTTCTTTTATAAACATCAGGCTTTCTTTGCTGCTGAATTAATTGATTTTGCTTCCACAGCTCTGAGCAACATTATCTTGTATTTTGACAGTGAAATCTTCTTCATATGTCCTTATTCTTTTCTCGTTTGAACACTCGAAATTGGATAATCTGAGACCGGCAGTTTAGTCCCTACCTTTCAGGAGTGTGCTAAAATAATATTGCAACTTTCCACAGCTTGTTATAACATGCGTCAAGCTTTTATTTTTTGGGCTTCCAAAACCAATTCCTTATCCCTGGTTCAAGGTGCGGTTGATCACAAATGATATCTTAAATTCCCAGAAAGACACATTCCTCTATGAGTTCATGAATTGTTAGTGAGACCTTCTGTACTCTGGGCTTCTCAAGTTCACTTTAAGTAGAAGGAAACTTGTTGTAGACACGACTGCGTACATGTGTGCCGTTTATATTTCAGCATTCTGTACGGCACTCCTTGCCTCCTTATCTGAGGCTGATTATAAGATGTCTCCTTAGTGAACAGGTTTTATTGGGGGTAGATTTGTTGGGCAGGAGTACTCGGCCGTACAAGCGACCTGTTATGATAATTAGCATAAAGCCTGCAGGCCTGTTAAACACTGATAATGTCAGGAGGATTGATGGGCTGTGTAGTACCAGGGTGAGCAGGAGATGGAGAAAGGGAGGAGGGGAGGGGAGGAAGGGCGACAAGGGATCTAAAAGGGCAGATGAAGGAAAGACGGATTAGGTGTCAATGGTGTAAGAAGTACTCAGGTCATATACTTTAGTAAAAGTCGCAAAACTATGTTGTTAAAATACCCTGTTACATGTAGAAGTCCTGCTTTGAAAATGTTACACAAGTATTATCAGCAAAATGTACTTAAAGGGGTCCTATTATGATTTTTGTGGCGTTCCTGTATGTGTTTTATAGGTGAATGTAAAAGGTCTGCAAAGGCAACAATGCAAAAGTTCACAGCAGATGGAGTTTCTCTCCCACGCACTCTCCCCCTCCTCTGCCTGAAACGCCTACATTGGACTCCTTTGTTCAGTTTCGTAACATGATGACATCACTATGTAGTACTCCCTGTATTGGCTAGCGCTCCAACACATTGTACATGATAGGCTAAGGGGCGGGACATCTCTAAGCGGTTGACTAATCACAACAGAGCCGGCCAGCTAACCAATCAGAGCAGACTGGGCTCTGGTTTCAGACAGAGGGTGAAAAGAGGTGCTGCAGCACAGGCAGTATGAGAAAAATAAAGAGCTTTTTAAACATTAAAGCATGGAGACATGTCACAGGAGAGGCACACAATTCTGTGAACTGAAAATTAGCATTAAAGGGCTCCTTTAAATAAATAGTGGACTAAAAGTACAATATTTCCGCCAAAATGTTGAAGAGTAGAATTATATGAAGCATGAAATAGAAATACTCAAGTAAAGTACTGGTATGTCAAAAATAGTACTTAAATACAATACTTGAGTAAATGTACTTTATTACATTCCACTTCTGCTAGGTGTAAAAAAAATAGGTTGATTTGTGTAGGATTTGTGAAGATGTCTAGTTTTCCACGTTGTTAAACACATCTTATCACAGTAATCTTTTGAGGCGTACCTGTGTGTTCCGTCAGTGTGTCACCCCCCCCCACCTTGGCAGATTTTCTGAGATCTGGCCCTTCACAGCCGCAGACATGCCTGTCATGTATTGACGGGGGAGAGACACAGCTTTTTGATAAATTGCATGATGCTCCAGCTCGCCTGTGTCTGTCAGAATACATCAATCGCCCGGCTAACCCATCAGTTCAGGGTACCTCGGTTTGTTGCCTGCAACCCCCCCCCCCCGCTACCTCACCTCCCACACCACTCCACCTCCCTTTTGCCTGCTGCGGGAATAAAAGCATTTAGCCATGCTTGAGAAGTCTTTTCATCTCAGCATGTGCTGGGCTCTACTACATTGAGATGGCCGTAACAGAATGGTTTAAAGGCAACATTGAGACATTAGATACACTGTTATTATGCGTATATAGCTGCAGGCTGACTGCTCAACACATGAATCTGAAGCAGATGAGGGGTGAGACGCAGAAGAGGGGGAGAGAACACAAAACTTAGAGTGATTACAGTCGAGCTGCAGCTCTTTTCTGATGTTTCAGACTTCCCAATGTTTTATACTATTTTGATTCAATCTTTTTGGACCCTACGTACATAATGCTGTTCAACCGGGCACAGACCCAAGGGCTCAGAGTGTCCGACGCCCCCTATTACAAACTAGGAAGAGACTCAGAATGACCAAAAAGAAACAATAAACAACTACAAAGAGACGCAAACAAATGCAAAGAGACACAAAAAGACAAAAGAAAAAAATTGTACAACCAAAAATTGAAACCTTAAAGAGATGCTAATGGCTAAAGAGACACAAAAAAACAACTGAATTGGACAACTATAAAGTCTATGCGTCTCGCTCCTATGGAGGCATGGGGGGGTCTGTTGCATGTCGGTTCCCAGGGGCCATCTACCCAGTCAGCTAAACTTCAGCATGTTAGCATTGTCAGTGTTAGCGTGCTGTGATACACACTCTCAGCTGCTGGCCTTCCTTTAGGCTCCTGTTATATTACAAATGTTCCAGCCACATCTTTGTACTAGTATTCTTCATAGATATCAAATGGAAATATGTGTATTATGCATTAAATGTAATTAGATATGCAAATGCTTGCCTCATGTACAAAATAATACACGGCCTTACCTCACCTCCGCTCAGACATTTTATCACCATACGCACACCTGTAACAAGGTCAACAAGAGCTGCAACAAGAGGAGATTACGTTGTTCCATTAAGGAAGAGTTCATTCAGCCAATCTTCATTTTTCTTTGAAAGCTGCACAACAGTGGAACTCAATCCCAGTAACGATTAGAGAACAAAACACCTGCAGTTTATTCAAATCTAATTTAAAAACATGGTTAGTGGAAAATCAGCTCTGTCAACACTGACACAATTTGCACTTTACAACGCTCTGTTTGTACACAATGTGCCTTGACCTGTTGCTATCTGTCTGCTTTGGGAATATGTATTTTTTTTAATGTTTTTATATATGCTTTTATAATATAAGCATCTATGTTGAATGTTGTTTTACTGATTGTAGGCTATTTACCTGTCATTTGAAGTGACATTTTTTTTTAGGATGACTTTCAACATCTGTCCAGGGACTGCAGATGAAAAATAGCCTGTTGGCTAACTCTGGCGCATTTACAGAAATGTTAATCAATGTGCACTGTCCCTGTCAAACAAACAAATAAATAAATTAAAAAGTGATTAACATTACATTATGAAGGCCTTAGAGGAGCATTTGCTATCAGGAAAAGTAAAAGCTTTTCACCTCTTGTTTCTGGTCAACGATAGTGGGTGGGTTTGAGTTTCTTTCTCCTACATAAAATACATTTTGGCAGTAAAACTCCGAATTGCTCTAACCTCTATTGATCGATAACATACCTTGCTTAAGGGTAAAACTCATAGCAATGCTGCTCCTTCAAAGATTTACATTTCTGCGTTGGAAGGGGCCCTAACTTACAAGCTCACAAACTTTTATACACACAGTAAATTATTGCACTTATTGACATTTCCATCTAATTTGACCATATTTTTCACAAAGTATTGTTGGTGTATCATAAATCAACTCTCCTCTGTATGGGGAAAATGCTAGCGTACATTATTAAAGCACAAAAGGCAGTACAATGAAGGTCAAGGAGGCCATTGGTATAAAAGCTAGTGTCTAACTTTTATTACTGCTAACAGCAAGATTCTTTAGACCTGTGTGACTCATAGAAATGTTATTTACAGCAATTCTTTACAGTCAAGTATGCTTGACTTCACTCATGAAGCAGGCAAAACCGCTAACTAAAGTCAATATAGTGAATACATAACATATTTATATACTTTTAAGAGGTGAAATTCAATAACATTCAGAGATCAGATGTTTTATTTAAGATGAAAGTAGCTCACGTCTGAAATGAATAGATTGTTAAGGCTTTAAGATGCTCACTCACACTTTACAGCCTTTTCATCTGCATTGCATGATTTCCTCCTGACATGAATTCCTTATGACTATGAATGAAAAGCTGTTATAATATTTTCTTAAAGAGCACCATGGGCTTTCTTTGTATCATTTAAGCGGCAACTGTAAACCACAAGAAATCCCAAGAAAGGTCCTCCGACATTTCAACATCACATACATTACACCAGCCTGCATTTACCTCATACTGCTTTATACTAGTTCATTAAGATTAAAATGAGCACACAACCCTTGACAACAAAGTGCAGCTGGGTTTATATCCCACTGCTCACACACATCCTCAGAGCTGTATAGTTCTGAAATACAAACAGGTCTGATGGAGGCAATAAAAAGAGGGGACCTGTGAACCGTCTGACCTCATTATGCCAGCAGGAGGCGAGTTGCCGTATGACTCCCCCTCTCTCTCTCTCTCATTCTGCCCACTAACAAGCTGCCTCTTTGTGAGATGGGGTGAAGCCGATTGACCAGTCTTACCCATCTCTGCTCTTACATGGGAACTCATTTTCAGTACAGAGTAATACAAAATGAGGGCACAGGTTGGATGAAAACAAAGGTAATTTGATTGTGTTTGAATGTTTTATTTGCATTGTGGAGCTTTAATTGGGATTAGTACGGTTATCATCAAGGCTGTGCTGATAGCTCTCGCCCTATTGAGTTCGGTTCAATTGTAATATATTCTAGATTTGTATCAGTAGATATTGGCCGTGTGTGTGTGTGTGTGTGTGTGTGTGTGTGTGTGTGTGTGTGTGTGTGTGTGTGTGTGTGTGTGTGTGTGGGTGTGTGTGTGTGTGTATGTGTGTGTGTGTGCAAGGTGGTAATCCGGCAGCTGCTCCGGCCTCAAGAGAGCCAGAGACAGAGGAGTGAGGGAAATGAAAGTGGAGGGATGATAGCGGAGGGGCGCCCTCAGAGAGCCTGGGATCATTGATGGGGCTCTCTGGAGAAGAGAACAAACAAACTTTAAACCAGAAAGGATGAGAGGGGCCATGGCCTGCAGGATGGAAGCCTACAGTGTGTGTGTTATTGTCACTATGCGTGTGTGTTGGTGTCTGCCTGCAAAGCTCATTCAGCTGAGCGTGAACAGTTTTGGAGTCTGGGTAAAGTCACGTACTTAAATGAAATATGGGTTTATGGTACAGTATAACTAAGGTTTTTCCAGCGCTGTAAAGAGGCTTATAGCTAGGTAGTAATGTCGCCAGCAGGGTTTGCTGTGCTCGCGGGGAAACGCTGCCAGAGACTCTCAGGAGTGCACAACAAGCTCTGAGAGGCAAGATAAGGAGGCTGGAATCTGTTCAGAAGCCATAAGCAAAGATTAGATTTACTAAACATTTTCCCCCTGCTTTTGTTGTCGGTGTGTTTTCTGCTTCAGGTGGCCTCAAAATCCCTCCTTCTAAGAGGTACATGGATTCTTAGTAAAATATTAGAATACACATTGTACACACTTCCAAACACATAAGCCTTTCACACATCATCTTCCTATTATCATCATGCGGTTGAGTCTGAACAAGAATAGGTGATGTTAAGATATAAAGGGCTACGTGTGTGTGAGAAAGCATGTTGTGTGTCAGTAACATCACACACACATAAACACACATTTTGCCACAGCTTTTGTTAAGTGTTAACTTTAATATGAGCGCGCCCGGCTTCTGTCCCATTACTGTCAAGAGAGTTTTATTATTAACCAGACCAAAGTCCCCGGGGAAGTGTGAAGGTAATCACGGGAGATTAGATATTGTTTGTGTGTTGGAGGTGTCAGGTGAAAAGCAATTATCCTCATATAAATTATAGCTTTCAGGATTACACTGACAAAAACAGAGAAGAACACACACACACACACACACACACACACACAGATACAATGTGAAATGTGACGCACATGTGCATTTATGTACGTACACATCTATATATACCCAGTGATGGCCAGAACCCATAAAGATTCAAGTGTATCCTACCAGTGGGAAGACTCATAAAATGTTTATGTCTGTTCTTTACTTAGATCAAGTGTTGGTTATGTCTGAAAGGAGTCAAAATAAGTGATTATCTTTTCAACAGCCCCCCCCACTCTGCACACAATGTCTCTGTGTCTAAGTTAATGAGGGCACTGCTCTGAGAATAAAAGCTAAGTATTACTAAAAAGTGTTTACTTATGAATCAAAGAGTGTGAGACTGGAATAAATTGAAGAGTTTATACGAAAGTAAATAATTCAGCGGATTTGCCTAATCCTCAGAGAAGCCGCTGCGGTGTACGTTTGATTGTTATTTGCGGCGCACATTTAGATGAATTCAAATTAGATTTTTCACAGCAACAAACACCAATAAGCCACTATAAAAGCCTATGAATTTCCAGCAAATAACCCCCCCTCACCTCTCTTTTTTTCTCTTTCTCTCTCAGTCTCATACCAGGTGAAGCAGGGGACGTGTGAGGTGGTGGCCCTCCATCGCTGCTGTAATAAGAATAAGATTGAGGAGCGCTCTCAAACCGTCAAGTGTTCCTGTTTCCCCGGACAGGTCGCCGGCACCACCAGAGCCAGACCCTCCTGTGTGGAAGGTAAAAGCTCCAAAGCCCTGTTTCTGTGTGTGTTGTGTGTAAATGTGTATCTTCATAACCCCCCCCAAATGAAAACTCTCTACAATAGACAAATCAATGTAAAAACCGAACTATATACATAGGTTATATACATAAGTGTACAGATGTCTTTAGTATTCCTATGCATGTGGACATGTTTCAATTGGGGGGTGGACCTCACATCCTCTATGGGGGTCAGAGGGCATGCTCACATGCTTCAATGTGGTGCACTTTGAAGGCAAAATGAAGAGACTGGATCTATGGGGTACAACCCTCAAAACCCATAAGAAAAGATCTGTATAAAATGCAATAATCACAAATCAGTAGAATATGGTCATGACATTCCAGGCAATACAAAATAGATGTAACTTGTTTATTTTATTTCTGCTTTTTGTTGAAGGAACAAGGAAAATAACATGTATTTGTCCCGTAGGGCAAAAATGAGCAAATGGGTCATTGTGGTAGGAAATATTAAAAAGCACAGTTTTAAAGAAAGTGCTCAAGAGGGAAAGCCAAATATCATAACATCATTATGCTGTAATGGATGTTCAAAATGTTAAAGTCAAAAACGTCCTTAGTGAGCACAAGGGTTAAAGATATCTGGCCTCTCAGTCAGGACAATATTCAAAGGCATAATGTGTTCTTATGACTCAACCTTTAAAGGTGGGGTAGGTGATTTTGGAGAAACCAGCTCGAGTGCGCTAGAATTTGAAAATACACAACCGGAAAAAATCTGCCACTTCCTTACAGAGCCCCTTCTCCAACACACACGAACGCGCACATGACCAATGAGGGCACGAGATAAGTTTGTGCACAGATGGAAGGCTGACAGGCAGGTAGGCCATCCAGTTATTTTAGCCGGGCCGGCTAAAATGATTGGTCGTGCTTTTTACAGTACTACGGCTTCCACAGATGACATTTTTTAATGGATTTTTTGTCAAAGCACTTAAGATATTCATTGCTATCGGGATGTTAAGAGCATTCCATGGAATATAACAAAAAGTGTATCTCGAGCCGGTTTCTCAAACTTACCTACCCTACCTTTAAGCTAACTATTTAGATTGCTCTGCTAGCTTGCTAACTACATTTCACACACTATACATCGTAGCCGTTGTTCATTTGTATTTCTCTTTTTCCACATTCCCCATGGGGTACAAGTATCCCTAGTTGGGACTCACTTTACAAAAGTAATATGCTCAGGTTAAAAAATGTTCTATAAATATTGTTTCATATCAAGGAATGTTTAGTGTTATATTACACACATTTTCCCACAATCCTTGAGCTTTTCTAATTATCTGAACCTGACTGGAATTCCAGAAAATGCTTTCTATGTGTTGGACTTCATCGCTCCGCTCCACAACATGTTTTAGTAACGATCGACGCACGGCTGAGTCCGACCGGGTCAGAGAGGCTAGAAATGTTTTTAATTATCTTGCATCATTAAATTTGCTACAAGAATCATCTCGCCTGAAACAAATCATTACCCGATTCAGGGCGACATCAATAAATGAGTCGGTTGCAGGAAAGATTAATAGGTTGCACTTTATTTTAAATTGCTGCCAGGTTACATTCCTGTGTGGAAATGGATTTTCTGGTGGCACCAAACAGGAGGACACTGCTCTTGTTCTGGCACAAACAAAGCTAAACCTTTTATAGACGGTTGAAAACATGTGCTGATGGAGAAATGACATTTGACCTTTCTATCCTTCTTAGCAAAGCCTCACAGTACAGAAACCCAAAAGAGGCGAGGCAGTGGGAAGATGAACACATATCAAAAGGAAGGAACAATAACATGTTGTTTAGCACAGTTTTTACTTTGAGACCAAGAACACGTGTCCGCCATGGATGCTGTTTTATGCTATTCTTTTTTGCTTTATGGTAATCCTACTATTAAGCAGAGGTGGGAAGTAGTGGAGTACAAATACGTTGTTACTGTACTTAAGTACATTTTTCTGGTATCAGTACTTTACTCCACTACTTATTTTTTGACGACTTTTTACTTCTTCTTCTTAAATTTTTAACACAAATACCTGTACTTTCTACTTCTTACAAACAGGCACGTTACTTTAGTTTTAATGTGTGTTTGGTGGCATGATCATTATTATTTAGAGTCATTGCGTGCCTATTGATTTGAACACAATCCGTGTATCCTTCATTTCCTGGTCTTCTCTAAAGAAGAGGGACCAATGAAAACATCAGGACTTCTACTTTTACCAGAGTATTCTTAAACACGAGTATCTGTACTTCTACTTGAGTAAAGGATGTGTGTACTTTTGCCATCTCTGCTATTAAGTCCCAGGTAATTAAAAGACTGTTTTAATACACATTGACCGTTTTGAAAAGGGGTTTAAAAGCATGTTTTTGAGATTAAGTTAACCTGTATATGCCCCTCTAGTCCAATATTTCGTCATCTTGTCTCAAGGAGATCATGTGACATGAAAGGTTGAAGCCACTAATGCAGGTAATGGAAGCCCAGACACAGTGTCTCCTTGCCTCCTATTCCCTTGTGTTGAATGAAAGGAGAAGCACATATACGACAGCTGTCACCCAAAACTGCCTCACCTTTAAGACGGGAAATGTAAACTGCATTTTAAAGGCCTGATTTTATTTGGGACAGCATTCCATTTCATATCTAGACGGGTCGCTTGGGTATACGACAGATGGTGATAGAGGAAGCATTTTCTTCTGATCTCTTTTATATGTCAAGATATGAGAAGACATAGGCGTCAGGAAGATGAGCGGCTGCTTTGTGGAAACTAATCTCGATCCAAATAAACAACAATGAAGATCAAAGAACATAACATAATAAGCAATGCTGGACATTTGGGGCTATGACTAAAGTAAAAAGTAGTGATTCTACAGTGTAAAAAAGTCAAGGAAAAGTAGAAAGGTATTACCATTAAAATATACAGTTATATTACACCAGCTACCTCTAGCTGCAGTGCACACTTTATTTTGTTAAATTTACTTTGAGGCAGCAACGTTAAATAAGCCCTCTTTATGGGAATATTAAGTATTTATTAAGTTTTCTATAACTGTGCTTCCCCTAAAAAGCTTACCTTGATTTATATTAATTTCAACTTTCATTTAATTAAATATGTTTCCAGCTTATGTCCTGTTCAAAACCACACTACTAAATATTCTTTAGTATTCATATTTTTTAACAAATGCAAGTTTCTTTAATGGAAAAACACAATCATGGATATCTTTTTTTTGTTATACTTAATGCTAGAGGATACTTTTTGTTACAGTGTTTGATTTGTTTCTTCTTTTTGTGCAAGGAACCACAAATATATGTTTACATCTATACATATTTTATATACAGTTGGTTAACTAGGCCTATAAAATGACATCATAATACATTGGTTAATATGACATTTTACATGAAATATCTAATAATAACAACACCTCATGCTGTCAATTGAATGTTGTGGAATAAAAAGTACAACATTTCCTTCTGTAAAGGATTAGAAGTATAAATTAGCAAATACATGTACCTCTAAGTAGTACTTAGGTACAACAGTTGAGTAAATACCCATTCCTCCATTGGTTCTGGAGAAAAAACGAATGCTCATCATAACATCAAATCATTATGTCGTTCAATACATAATGACTAAACACACATAATATATATTTGGTACAGAAAAACACAAATACACAGTAAATATATATTGTTATACGTGTGTTTGTATCTGCTCATGCTGTGTGTGAGTGTAGCGATGATAGACCGGTGAAAGCTGCGGGTTGTTTTCAGAGACCTTTGTTCCGTCCGTTTGTCTGCTCTGCGAGCTCCTGCCCAGAGAGAAGCAAGCTGTGTCACTAACCCCTATCATCTACAGACGCTCTGCAGACACCACACACACACACACACACACACACACACACACACACACACACACACACACACACACACACACACACACACACACACACACCACACACACACACACACACACACACACACACACACACACACACACACACACACACACACACACACGCGCACACACACACACACACACACACACGGTCCACTCACACTATAATAGCCCCCTACCAAAGTTGTCTCATACGAGCAGAGCCTGTGGATCTCTGAAGCAAACAGGTTCTTCAAACTGTTCAGGTCAGCTGGGGATCCGACACAGAATCGACACTCACACAGAGCTGAATGTCTGATAGAACCACACAAAAAGAGGCTTTGATACGATGTCTGGACAAAAGGTGGAGTTGTGTGCTTTCTCAAACTTTTTTGAACTCAGATTTGCAGTTTTTCGTTTGTTTATTGCCAACAGCGTAGAGTAACAGCACATTATCATGCTAATGCTGCAAATGAGTGTTATGGTAATTATCAAACGCAAAATATGGAAGACAAAACCACACCTTACCTTTCTGCGCTAGCTTTAATGGTTCATTTAACTGACAAAGAAGCATTTTTAGATGTTTTGGATATTTAGCGTAAGTGTGATGTTGCGATAATTCCTCATAAATGTACAGTAGGGCAAAAGTCGAGAGGTATCAAACTGAATAATAGAAACATTGAATATGTTTTTTGTGGGTTTTTTTCCCACTAGAACCAAGTAAATTGGGTACTCAACCATTTTTATTTCATTTGCACCCTAGACTGCACACTTAGTTTTAGTAGTGACTCATTTCATTCCCTTCAGTTGAAACAAGCAATCTCATATGTTTCTATCAGTATGAAGCACGCCTGACTTCCTGTGCTGCAGGCATGTACTTCAAGAGTCCAAACACTTCTCATATTTAGTATCACATCTGTCCGTACAGCACTTTCTATCCCTGTGTGTTGCTATTCCTGCGTGCGGCCAGTAGACGGTGCTTTTCCCATTCAAATGACTCCGTCACAAACAAACCTTCCACATCATTTCAGCACTATTTTCCCTCAATAAAAAGTAGATTTGTTGTTTAACCTCTTTGATGAGTTCCTAGATGGGAACAATTGCTTGATAATGATAAAATCAGGC